AAAAAAAAAAAAAAAAAAAAAAAAAAAAAAAAAAATACAGGTATAATGCTGTCCTCTGCAACTCAAACTCATTAAAGTTTGCTGGCAATCAGGTCTCATCCAGATTTCTATTTGAGTCAGGCATTGCGATTGCAATAGTCTTGCAGAATTGGAGTTTTATTAGATCTACAATATTATGTTGACAACATGAACTTTACACTACAATCAATATGCCAAATTCTATATTCAGATACATGCAGCCATTTCAACAGGCTACAGTGGCAGTTGGTCCCATATGGTTAAGTTCAGGTTCTAGCAGTCACTGTGTAACCTGAAAGCAAGAGTGTTTTTGTTTTTTAATTAAGTTTAGTCTACTGTGGTCGAATAGGTAATTACAAACCGCTTACCCTAATATGATTCTTGCCAAGCCTTTCCCATAGTTTGTCACTTTTGGGATTCACAGGAACAACAACGTGGTGCACAGTTTCTGGGACAGAATCCTCTCCTTTTAAGTCAACCCAAGTGGGGAAATGCATGATCTTCTCAGACAGTTTCTTCACATCAAAAGAATGGAGAGTTGCAGAACACACAATAACCTTAAGAAAAATACAGACACTTTAGGGCAAGAAGTTTTACCAAAGCCACAAACACCATAGCAGGTGACTCTTACTGGTCAAGAGTTTAGGTGGAGAGAATAAAATCCAGAAGGGTCTTGTAAGTTTGTGATAGTAGTGTGGTGTCATGCAGAGAACTTTTTTCTCCCTACTTCTGACACTAGAGAGACTGATGGAAACCAGCCATATGAAGAACTTTCTGGTCAAGTCAAATAATTACTCCATTTTTCCCTCTAAAAAGCAACTGCCCAGTCATTCCTGGTCAAGGAAAGCAGCATTATTGGCAGCTGAAGAAGAGGCACAGAGCAGAAATGAAATATAACAATTCCTCAGATATATACACATCACACGGGTACTTTACAGTTTTACAGATTTCTGAATGTGGACTTCAGGGTTGCCATGTATCTGTTCCAAGTATAATTTTCATATCAAAATGCCTACAGTAATACTGCAGATTATGAAAGTTGTTTTATCACACTCCTAATTTGAGTTGCACCTAGAACCAAGTAGCAGACTATAGATCTAGTGTGTGGGTGGGGGGAAGTCATGCTCTTTTTTCATAATGAGGAAGTACACAACTCTTGATGGCATTGTAGGTAGTTTCCAACTTACAAATGTTTTCTTTTCAAATCGAAAGAAAGCGGTCCTTTAGTAAGAGTATATTAAAATAAAAATATAATGTAAAAATGTATGTTTCGCTTTACATTTTTTAGTTCAGTTCAAAACTAGCATCTTAAAATTACTCAAGATAACCAACCATTTCAGCCCATCAATGAAAGCCATGAAGGACCAGCAGATTAAACCCCAGAGTATCTTCTGTAAACACTAAGAAGGAGAAATAGTAATTGCTGACTTTCTAAATAAAATCCCACATTATACCTTTAATTAGCAGGCAGTCATCTATAAAACATTGTTAGAAAAATATAAAAGTAGGTAACCACTTATGGTGGAAGGTAGTAGATTCAGAGAGTTGTATGCCAGTATATCACAGGCTATTAAGCTGTACACAGTTACCCCTGTGTTGAGCCCAACAACTTGCGAACAAACTTTAAAACAAATAAAAGAGAAAGTGAACAGAAAAGTATTAACTACCCCATAAAAGAAAAAAGTGCACCACACTGGAACTGTTATATTCAACAGCTTTTAACATGTTAAAAGTGATTGCTGATTACAATAGAGAGCATTATACCTGCAGTCTTTTTCCATCTGAAGTTATCTGAGGAATCTGACCATGGATTCTGTTTATGAAGTCTGAATAACCTTGGAGAAGGAGGCCATCCTACATTGGGAATCAAAGAGAGAAGCTACAACACCTTTTGCTAATCTACTCAATTAGACAAACAAATATTAGGATATAGACTTTGATGCTCTTTTTAAAAAAACTCTCTTTTCTGGCTAGGACAGCATTACCAAAAGGGAAGAATCCTAAGACTCAAAATTATTTAAAGTGGATCTTGACTAAAATGAAAGTGGGTGGACACAAACAAACCCTCCAGACCAGCTGCTGCACTTTAAAATTTACTCTACTTAAATGAAGTGAACGAGGAAACCTGAAATAGCACCACTGTAGCTTTGAGTAGAGCAAAATAGCCCACACAATTTCAAGAACTGATAAAAATCAGATTTTGAGGAAAACAAAAAACAAAAAGAAGCCAACAATTAGGAAAAACTAGTTTATTTTAATCAATACCTAAAACCCACTTTAAAAAAAAAAAGGTACCATCTTAATTTCCTTCAAACCACCCAAATTAGCCTCAAAGCTAGATTCTGAAAATGAACTAAAGTCAGACATGTGATGCTTGTGACTGCAGCTGTATAAACTCAGCCTACGTAGTATTTTCAAAGTTAGTAAATTAGGTATTTTTCCATAGTATTTTTTTTGGAATTTGGCATTAAATCGTATTACCACATCAAATCTTGTGATACCAGCTTCTACCCAAGGGCTTTGTACGTTCACAAAGCTGCCTTTGGAGGCTGCTACTTCCATGCAAGATTCCTGTGTTACAAGGTGAAATAAATGGCTACTCTCCCAAAAAAAAGTTAAGTTTTTCTGAAGGTGAATCTTTCTGAAAGCCTTCTGACCTCTCAGGGTCTCCCCATTTCAGGTAGAGGACTAGCTCAGTCCACGCCTTGGATGCAATGCAAGCGCAGGCATTGAGCATGCTGCATTTACAAAACACTAACCAGGATAACTAACCCTGAAACACAAGGATGTTGAACTGTCAATGCATTTAAATACATAATTGCTTTAACTCTAGGGCAGGGGTCGGCAACGTTGGCACACGGCTTGCCAGGGTAAGCACCCTGGTGGGCCGGGCCAGTTTATTTACCTGCTGACGCGGCAGGTTTGGCCGATTGCGGCTCCCACTGGCCGCGGTTCGCCGTCCTGGGCCAATGGGGGCAGCAGGAAGTCGTGGCCAGCTCATCCCTCGCCCTTGCTGCTTCCCGTCACCCCCATCGGGCCAAATGTTGCCGACCCCTGCTCTAGGGCAATGAAAACTTCATCTAACTTCTAACAGTAAATCAAATTGCCACAGATAAGTTTTGTTCTTACAAACAATACCACAATGTATAAAGCTAAATATTAGTTATTTTCTTTACTTACAGCTTCATCAAGAACCAGGAATCTAACTTGAGATAAGTTAAGCTTTCCAGTTGACACCAAGTCATCCAATCTTCCAGGGGTTCCCACAACTATGTCCACCTATAAAATATAAAAGGGTTTTTAAGTACATTTAGCAAGTCAAAATTTAACATGAATTTATGAAGTTCCATGCAGAGCCAAGTGTAGCGATTAATTAAGGTAGCACAACCCTTCCCACTGAAGGGCCCGGTTTTCAGTTGCTTATAACTTTGCCAAGCTTTAATCATATCAGCTGAAATTTGCCATTCCCACTATCTGGTTCACACGGAATATCTTTGGAAAATTTCAGCTACAATGGTTCAGCTATTTCAGACAACAAGGTTGATGAACTTAAGAGGTATTGCCCCCCTCCCCCTTTTTTATTTTTTTTAAAAACACAACTTCCAGTCATTTAACTGAGAAGCTCCAAGTCCTCTATGCATTGATGCAGAGATTGGATATTTTACAAGGGGGAGAATCACCTTTGTGATCAGCGAGATGATTTTTGCCATTCCTCTAACAATATATCTAAAATTTGGCCAAGCCAAAAAACACAAAAACAGACAAAAACCAAACCAAACACCCCCTCCTCCCCCAATAAAAACAAAAGCCCCTTAAACAGGGATTTGGAGCTGTGCTCTGCTCCAGCTCCAGGCAAAAACCTGCAGCTCCACTGCTCCGGAGCTGCTCTGCGCTCCAGCTCCGCTCCAAACCCACCTCAGTTAACACATGCTTTGTAGACACCTGTTAGAGGTTGGCAGCTAACTTCACTGAAGATTCATCTACACACCAAAAAGCTCCTATACACACACACCAGCCAGACATACTGTATCCATGCTATCCACTAAAGAATGGCTGAACATACTTCATCCAAGCAGGACTTTCCTTACAATTGCTCCTTGCATCAGCTGGGGCTATTTGGGGCTCTGGGCACAGGAACTGAAAACAGGGAAACCATCTCTATTATGCTCTCAATGCTAGTGCACAGGCAGCAAGGAAAAGGAGGAGAAAGCACCTGTTTGAATGCTGATGGGAGAGTAATATGGGGGTGGGGCTTGGATAGGAGTTATGGGGATGTGGGGCCAGATGATAGCACTAGGGCAGAATGCTCTATTGGCTATAGAGCACACTCTCCTATAGAGCCAGAATTTGAACCCAAGAATGTTCAGTCCCTACACTCAGTCAGCAAATACCCATGAAACCCATTCATCAACTGTACATGGCACCCCCCTCTAGGGGCTGATCCACTTCTGCTATCAGTTCCTCCATTTGCTTAAGTGGAGAAAGTCTGCTGTGGCCTCTAAGGGTTCAAACACACTCTTTATAACCTACACAATAGAAATTATATTAGTAAAAAAACTGAAAAAATGGAAAGACTGCAAAGTCAAGTACCCAAATGCCAGGAAAAGCCAGCATTAAGGCTGCCTGTACAACCTTATTTGGCCCCCTGGTATGTATGCATTATACGATACAGTATTTAATTACATGACCACACACTATTTCCCCCCCCCAGGATCCTAGCCTTGTTTAGTGAGCAGGATGGATGGTGTTCAGGGAATGAACCAGGGTGAAGTAATGAATGAGGCTGTTCTCTCTCGGCACAAAGCCAAATGTATTCCAATGCATTTTACAGATACATATGGGATTTGTTTCCCCCATCAAGAACTGTAGTCAGTTCTGGGGTCAAACAGTAGCAGGTTAGCACAGACACACTAAACAAAAGTGTAAGACTGAAAATGAATAATAGACTGCAGAGAACATTAGGCAAACAAAATGTTAGACACGATCTATTAGTATGCACCAGAAAGAGGATTCTAATTTGTAAATCTCTTGTGTTTGAAGAGGTGGAAACTGCCCTTTTCACTAAATCTATAAAGCAGGTAGAGCATAGTAAAAGTTAGAATAGCTTTAGGACACGAATAACGACAGTGCTATAGGATTGTTAATTACTGTATGTGCTTAGGACCTTGGTTTTTTACAACTCATCTGAAAGATGGTACCTTCAGCAGCACAATGTTTAATACCATGCTGGGGCTCAGGTTCTGATTCAATTCAGAAAGAAAATCATTTCCTTCAGTGCCTGTATTTTCCCTAAACGTATCCCCGACAAGAATGATGCCACTTAGCTTAGGAGACCTGACAGGACTATGGCTGGAGGCAATACAATTCTGTCTTGGTCTATGAGTTACCTTACTCATCAATGCACCAGCTTTTCTTACAGAACGTAAGGTTTGTATTTCCCCCACACCCGCCAGGTTTAATTCTGCTAGTTTCCAGACACCCAATTAAGGCTCTAAGTTTTCAGGCCCGTGTGTCTCAATGCCCAAAGCAAAACACTACTTAGTGTTACAGTAAGCCAGCGTTACCATGGCCTACATGGGTATTACAACAACAGCATGACAGCAAAGCTTATCTAATGAAACCCTTCCTCACATCTCCTCCAAAACAGAGGAAATAGGGAGGAGGAGGAGGAAATGACAAATTAGGATCCTTTTTTGGTGAAAAACCAATAGATGCAGTTTCCTAACTAATCTAGAGACAGAACACAATTCCTGAAAAGCAGTACACATTTAGATATTGGGTACACAGCTACAAATATGAATTTTCTTAGGTTTTTGGAGAAAAACCTTTTTTCAGAACTGAATGACCAAAGATAACCGGCTTAATACAAATTATAAACTATTTGCCTTACCTGGCTTAATTTGATCAATTTCTCGTTCTGAAGGGAAATAAACACTAGAATACCACAGTAGTTGGGCAACATACCACTCATTTCATTTGATCAGCCTTACAGAAGCAATATGGAGTGCAACATTGTCAGGGAATTTGGGCTGTGGAACACCACAACTATAAACTTTAAGTTAGAGATGAGCACACAACTTACACCGTTTTCCAGAACGGAAAGCTGATCTCTTGCAGCAACACCACCAATAATTAGGAGCTCCCTAAAATGGAACAGAAAATAAGAAACTTAAGTTTTTGAAACTTTTATATTTGTATGTCATAGACATCTTATTCTACAGACTGTAGACCTTCGCATATCCAGCAGAGTAACTAACCAGCTGGCTTGGAAGTCTGTACACCATTATCTATATGTACCTCATGCTAGAGAGCGGTGTTTAAGGAGATTACACAGAGCTCTTCTTCACCTCTGTGTGAGCTTGAAAGCTTGTCTCTCTCACCAACAGAAGTTGGTCCAATAAAAGATATTACCTTCCCGACCTTGCCCCTCTAATATCTTGGGACCAAGACTGCTATAACACTGGATACATTTAGGCTTGGTCTACACTACCCCCCTAATTCGAACTAAGGTACGCAACTTCAGCTACGTGAATAACGTAGCTGAAGTCGAAGTACCTTAGTTCGAACTTACCTTGGTCCACACTCGGCAGGCAGGCTCCCCCGTCGACTCCGT